GTTCTTCCTGAAGACTTCTACCACATCCTCAACATAGTCACGCGCCACAATAATGCCTACCCCATTTCTAGTCTTATCTCTCCCCGAATACCACAACTTAAAACCTCCGGGATTAATCTCGCGTGCTTTCTCTCCAATCCATTTAGTTTCTTGCACACACATAATGCTGATATTCCTTCTGCTCATAACCTCGACTACCTCGGAAGATTTGCCTGTAAGAGACCCAACATTCCATGTCCCAAAACGCAATCTAGCATTCCACCTTCTGTTTTTAGCGCCATCTCGGACCCCACCATGTCCTTGCATATTTGACATCATCCCTGGGCAATGGGATGACGCACCGCTTCTGGGCGGCGACCTAGCAACCTTAGCATTCTTATCACCACACCCAGGTCTATCAAGTGTAGCGCGCCCTTGCATATTTGACACCACCCCCAGGCGGAGGGATGACGCGTCATTTACGGGTGACGACCTAGCATTAGCGATATTCATATTTCGATTCATGTCATGTGATGTGACTAGGTGATACTGTTGGCCGTCACACGTCTACCACAGCACTCTCCTCCTTTATCCTGGCTTGGGACAGGCATGATACCAAAAAAATGATATCATGACGGAGTTATACAATAGTTGGGATTATTATTTTCAATTTTTCCTAATAGTAATAATAGTAATACTAATAAATAATAATAATAATAATAGTAATAATAGTAATAATAATAATTATTATAATAATAATACTAATAATAATTATAATAATAATAATAATTATAATAATAATAATAATAATAATAATAATAGTAGTAGTAATAATAACAACAACAACAACAACAACAATAATAATAATAATAATATAATCGATAATAATAGAATGTTTCCAATTTGCTATGAATGTTTCTTATCTGAATGTTTCTGATCTGATCTGATCTGATTTGAATGCTTCTGATCTGATCTGAATAAAATAAGAATAAACAATAAGTAATAAGAATAAGATGAACGGAACAGCACCTAAGTCACTGTGACTTACTACTCGCCATTCTGTCGGGTCGAAGTGTGAGACTGATGGGGTGTGGTCGGGTCGGGGAGATTCTACCTTTAGAACAACTAGAAGGGTGCTATAATAATGATGTTCATCATTTGGAAATAAAACACGTTCCTTTCTAGTACAGTACAAGCACATGCTTGTTTCAGACAGACCGCTAGTCTTGCAGAATTGGCATGACTATGAATTAAACAACTCCCTCCGCCTTCTTCAATCCCAAATACAAACGAGCTTTATGTACTCCCTGTGTATCAAGCAAGAACAATTATTGGGTTCGACTTGCTCATCCAATTCTAATTAAGTATAGTAATTGCTCAAATAGAACAAAAACATAAGCATGTTCAAATAAGATTATTTATGTGTTAGTTTTAAAACAAAGACCAAGTTATGTGTTCAATAAAAAGTTATGAATTGAATTTTGATATATTTTTCTATCATCTTTCATTTAACACCAAAATTTGATGTATAAAGTTAAAAAAATATTACTCCACCCAAATAAAAAAGTTCACCAAAATTGGTGAATTTTACACTATTCACATACTCTATTTTGACTACATTTTATTTATAAATGTATTATAAATTAATTTTTAGAAAAATATTGAAAAATTCTTCTCATTTTAAAATTTCAAAATCTGAATTTTTAATGATTTTGCTAATAAGAAATGAAAGATATTAATGGTCAAATTTGTGCGTTGCTAAACGTGACAAATGGACTGTTGCAAATAAAAAAGTACATAGAAACTATAAAGTTTCAATTACGTTACTAGAGATTTTTATACACAACATTTTTCTTAAAAATATTTGAGAGCTAAAATTAAGATCCAACGTTTTTTACATTACCCTGTTGTTTTTTTATAAAATAGTTCTGAAATTTTAAGAAAACATCTAATTAATTAAACTCTTAATTTATTTATTTTTATATCAAAATGTTTGACTTTTTAAATCACAATTACTGATAAAAAGAAGAAATTGTCACATAAATGATGTGTAATAAAAATAAGTAATGATTTATGCATTAATTAAAAAACGTGCTTAGTGAATATATTCATGATCCTGATTGCAGGAAAAAACTAAATTAGTTGGATGAATATATACTCCGTATAAGTTACCCGGGAAGGCGGGAATTAGATTTATTGACGGGTTGGATTATTACGATTAACTTAATATTCTTTATTTAATACCGAGTAGCGAGTACAGAGTAGTTAGAGCATCTTCGATGCTAAAACGTTAACGGTGCATACGTGCATGAGAGATAACCAATGAAAAAACAATAAATAGAATATCTCTCTCCTTATTTGAAGGATCTTATATCATTTTGGTAAGTTTATCTTCACAATTTCAAGCACAATGTCTAGATGTAGACATTGTGATTGACATTGCAGGGAAAAACTTACCAAAACACATAAGACCGTGGAAAAACGGAGAGAGAAATGTCATAAAATCAATCTTTTGTGTCTATCTCTCTCATATCACATGTGCATCATGCATTCATGCACATTGTAGCATTGGAGATGCTCTTAGTAATTGGTATCATGATGTGGGAGGGTGGCCTGGTCAGGTGGTGGTTCCAGCTTTCCTTAAAAAGAAAGATGAGCGGGGTGGTTTGAACTTTGAATACACTTTTTTCCATTTTCAGCCAATCCTTCTTTATGTGCTGAGCTTTCATTCTTCACGCCAGCACCTGCTCATACTCGTATTTTTGATTACTTCGTATCCTTATCCTTAAAGTCATATTCTAATTCATAAAAATCACCCTCATATTCCAAACCTTCGAACGTTATTAGAGCCTTAATTTCTATCCAGTCATGGAAATTCCAATCTTTCTATCCAAAAATACTTTTTCCTTATTTCCTACAAATTTTTTATAGAACAAGTTGGCTTAAATTGATATTAAAACATTCACAAAGGGAAACAAAAGATAAAAGGACTACTTAGCTTCCAACCACCGATCCTTGAATCAGACTGAATCAATCATCTTTAAAAAAACAATATGGTTTGTTGATCCTGTAATGAGTCTAAATGAACCTAACGTGGTTAGAGCAAATCTCTCATCACCCCAACCTAATGCAAGAGTAGGGCAGAAAAAAATGCAAATGACAAAAACAAACATATTCTGATTAAAAGAAAAGACAAACATAAAAACATAAACGTGGGAATTCAATTGCATCCTCAGTAACCCATGGAGCTTTCCCCGGTCCTCAGAAACTAATTTCCTCTTCACACCTCTCGGCTGGTCGACAAGCCTGGACCTACCCCAACTCCGTTTTTTGGAGCATCAACCGCCATTTTGTCTCTCCCTGCTTCCTCTTCATTTTCCTCCTCCCATGTCCTCCAGGGGGACAAACCATGTCAGCGTGCATGCCCCATGATACCACATGCAAAGCAAAAACTAGACAATTTCTCATACTTAAGATCAACCCACTGCCCTGTTTCTTGACCCTTTCTGAGAGTCGTACCAACTTTGAGCGGTTTCCCAACATCCATATTAACCCTAATTCTCGTATTGGGTCTCTAGTTTTTATCAAACTGACTATCGTCAAAACTAATAATTGTTGGATAGAAATATGATTTAATAACATTTAGTGACTATAATTGTGTTCAAATTTTATAACATAATGACTAAAATTAAACATAATAACTTATAGTCACATTTATTTCCATAAATATTTTATTAGTAAAATTTTCGGAAAAATCTCTAAGATTCTGCTTGTTGGTGGCAAAGTTGGAACCAATAATAGTTGAAATTTGAAACTTTGTTACTTTAATTTATACTCTGTATAATATAAGATAAGAGTATTAGTCTATTACTACTTCCATTTCAAATTGATTTATAATTCATGGTTTTTAAGTTTAACAGGCAATGAAGTTCAATCACTCGGCCTATATGTTAAGCATACTCGTATTTGTTACTCTAAAGTTACAAATTTTATTGAAACTTTTTGTGTGCATTAGCTTTTTGATCCCTTAAACAATGAGTTCAGAGAGTAGATTTGTGAAGTCATATGATGTATCGTGACACCATCATCATCACTAGCTTTTGTAGTAGCGACTCCACTAAAAATGAGTGGTGATAATTTTGCTACAATACCCTATAGAAGAGTCCATAAGGGAGTCATATTGGACTTTTAAAATTGGGAACAATACAGAAAAGTTACATGTGGTTTGGGCCGTTTTCAAATAGAGGCATGTGTTTCATTTTTTAATAAAGTGAGACATGTGTTTCAATTCCGTTATCACAGCTGGGCATGAAGTCTAACGTTGTTATAAAAATTAACACCGATTTTAAAAAGTCTCCAAAAAAAATTAAAAAAATACTAAGAGGTGTGTCTCGTAAAGAAAACTTCTAGATCATCCTTCTTTTTTGTTTCTAGTCACCCTGTTGCCAGAAAGTCCACCAGAAAAGTGATATTAGCGAATTCATTTTTAAAAAACAATCCAAATAGAGCTGAAAATTCAAAGAAAACCATAGTCTATTGTCTCCTTGACGAGACGCACCTTTTAATTTTTTTTTTAAATTTTTTGGAGACTTTTCGAAATCGAAGTTAATTTTTTAACGGTGTTAGGTGCCATGCCCCAGCTGTGATAACAAAATTAAAACACATGTCCCACTTAAAAAAAAATAAAACATGTGCCTCTCAATGCAAACGGTTCAAACCACACGTACATTTTATGCAACTTTTCCTTTAAAATTTTGTGAGTTCGGATCTTGCTCTAGATAAAGAGTGTCATATAAATTCATTATGTTAAAAAGGGTGAGTTGGGGTCGACTTTGGACTTTGGATCTAAACTCGATTCAACAGCACAAGTTGGGCTTTGAGTTTGTTACTCCTCTTGATCTGATTCTAGTCCAATAGAATATGTACAGAAAGGACTGTTATGGGCCTCCTAGTAGATTTCAATTTGAAGTAGTTATTTGGCCCTTGTTGGCTCAGCATCCTACTTTTGGAGGGGAAAGAGAGAGCTCGAGAGGGAGCAATGGCGGAGGTGCAGAGAAGAAGGCCGATGCCACCAGGACCGCCGAGAGGCCCTGTTGGTCATATGCAGACCAAGACCGTTGCTAGATCGGAACCCATCGATCGCGAGAAGGTTAACCTCCACTTTTCTATCTTTCCTTGTAATCATTCCCCAGACACATGAATTTAAAAGAGCGGTTTAATCTGTATGTATGAATTTATGAGAGTGATTTTGACTTCAGTCTCGTAAAGTTGATCCATTCTGTATTTTCAATTGGTTTTGGGTTTATGCACCAGTATCTGGGTTTTGGAGTCTAGGGCTTTAGCTCACTCTTAAACTTCGGACTTTTCTTGTGTATCCAGTTTATATATTCAATTACCCTTGTGTGGTTTACAATACCAAAATGATTTTTTAATACTTTAGCGCGTTTGTTAGTAAGCTAGGTTTATATTCATGCTTCCTTAATTTAGTGCTAATGTTGATTATCCTGTAATGGTTCTAACAAGTTGGGAAGGAGAATTTAAGAACCCCTTAAAAGGATTATTAAAACGATTTTATCCGTAAGATGTAATGAACTGATTCACTCATGACTTTATTCAGAACATGGTTACGGTGGGTTAATGCAATTGAAACCATGAAACCATTTGCATTTATTTTTCACTTCTCTCTCTTCTTTCGCAAAGGGGGGTGAGAATCATAACGTTTGAATTGGTTGTGGATTTAAGAGGAGAGTTGAGGGAGTTGTTCCATTGAGAATTTAAGAAACATAGGGCTCTGTTAGGGAGTGGGAGGCAGATGGGCCGAGGCTCTAGGAGGAGGCAACTCGGCCGATGCTTCAGGAGGACGGGCCTCGCCCGTTATTAGTTTACTGTCGCTGTCAGTGGACCTAATTCGGCTGGGTTGACTGCTGGGTTTTATTACTTTCATTCAATTGTTATTTCTAATAAATTGTTGGGCCTAGATGGCCATATTTTATTATTAGGTTACTGGGCCTAGATGGCCATATGTAAGTTTTAGGAATAAAACTTCCTTGATTTTATTGAGCCATCCGGCCATGGTATATATACATGTTTACAGATAAAATCAAGTTGTTACAGATCCTAAAAAATAGGATCTATCTATTCTATCTATTCTGTGAGCTTATCTACTAATTAGAGAGTCCTATCTACTCTAATTCTTATCTACACAGTTCCGGATGTACAAGTAATTAAAATAACAAGAATATGTTACATTTTTCTACACTCCCCCTCAAGTTGGTAAGTATATATCATACATTCCCAACTTGCTTATAAGTAGCTCAAATATAGGTCTAAATAACCCTTTGGTGAAGATATCAGCTGTTTGATCTTTAGTGGATACAAATGGTGTGCAAATGATTCCAGCTTCAATCTTCTCTTTAATGAAATGTCTGTCCACTTCAATGTGCTTAGTTCTATCATGTAGCACAGGATTATGAGCAATGCTTATAGCAGCTTTATTATCACAATATAACTTCATAGGCAGCTCAATCTCCATCTTTAGTTCTGTGATTACTCGTTTGATCCAGAGTAACTCACATATTCCATTAGCCATAGCTCTGAATTCTGATTCTGCACTACTTCTAGCAACCACATTTTGTTTCTTACTTCTCCAGGTTACTAGATTTCCCCATACATAGGTGCAGTATCCAGAGGTAGATCTCCTATCAGATATTGAGCCAGCATAATCTGCATCAGTAAAAGCTTCAATTTTCCTATTGTTTCCCTTTTTGAAAAACAATCCTTTCCCTGGACAGCTCTTCAGGTATCTTAGAATCCTGTAAGTAGCATCAAGATGTTCTTGGAAAGGATGATGCATAAACTGACTTACCATGCTTACTGCAAATGCAATATCTGGTCTAGTGTGTGCCAGATATATTAATTTTCCTACCAATCTTTGATATTGGTGAATATCAACTGGATTTCCCTCCTTGATATCTCCCAATTTCTGACTTGGGTCAATTGGAGTGTCTGCTGGTTTGCAGGCACTCATTCCAGTTTCCTGTAGAAGATCTAAAACATATTTCCTTTGTGAGACAACAATACCCTTCTTTGAACTAGCTATCTCCATTCCTAGGAAAAATTTTAAATTTCCTAGGTCTTTAATCTCAAATTCATGAGCAAGTTTGTCTTTCAATCTTTTAGTCTCTGTGTGATAATTTCCTGTGAGGATAATATCATCTACATAGACAATTAAGATTGCAATCTCCCCCTTACCTGAAAACTTCATGAATAAAGTATGGTCAGCTTGAGTTTGATTAAATCCTTGCTTTTTTATGAACTTTGTGAATCTGTCAAACCAGACTCTTGGAGACTGTTTAAGTCCATATAAAGCATTCTCTAATCTGCAAACCTTTAACCCAAACTTATTTTCAAACCCAGGTGGAGGTTCCATGTACACTTCTTCTTCAAGTTTCCCATTTAAAAAAACATTCTTTACATCCAGTTGTTGTAATGGCCAGTCTAAATTGGCAGCAAGAGATAAAAGAATTCTTACAGTGTTCAACTTTGCAACTGGTGCAAAGGTTTCTTTGTAATCAATTCCATAGGTCTGTGTGTACCCCTTGGCAACTAGTCTTGCCTTATATCTCTCCAAACTTCCATCTGCCTTAAACTTGGGGTTGAAAATCCACCTGCAACCAACTGTAGGTTTATTTTTAGGTAACTCTACAAGCTTCCATGTCTGATTCTTTTCAAGAGCCTCCATCTCCTCCAAAACAGCTTTCTTCCACTCAGGTTTAGATAGGGCATCCTGTATGGTTGTAGGAATAGAAATAGAAGAGATACTGGAAGTAAAGGCTGCAAAGTCTGATGTCAATTTAGAATAAGAAACATAGTTTGAGATGGGGTATTTAACACATGTTCTTCTCTCTTTTCTGAGAGCAATAGGAAGGTCAAAGTTGCTAGAAGTATTACCTTTTTCACTTCCTGACATTGAGGCAGAATCATGGACAGTTGTAGGTTTTTGAACTTCCTCTATTCTTTGATTTCTAACCCTTCTCTCATAAGTTTTTTCAAAGAACTTCTTCTGCACTAGGTTGTGAACTAGTATTCATTATAGAGAATAAAGATTTGGTTTGAGCCTAAGGCTGGGACAGACGTTAATATCTTCTTCCAGGGTTTTCTGTTTCTATCAATTTGGTCCGACCCGCCGGATCCTATCCACCACCCTACGTTCATCATGACTCGTTCCACCATTGATCAACGCCTGGATGCGATAGAAGCGGAACAGAAGGACATCAGGACAGAAGTGCAATCCAACAACGCCAAGTTGGATGCTATCACACAAACCCTAGATACCCTAGACAATTCTGATCGGGAGGGGGAGGCACGGCTGACTCGCAGAACTCCCACAACCCTAGGTCTGTGACCGTGCCTCTGACGCTACCAGCGTTTGAGGGGGCAGACCCGATTGGATGGCTCGCAAGGGCCAATCAGCAGTTTGAAATCCATCAAACCCGACCTGAGTTGAAGGTGGCGTCAGCCATGGTAGCAATGGAGGGTCCTGCTCTGTACTGGCTTTCTTGGACACGGTCGCGGAAACCAGACATAGCCTGGGAGGAGTTTTCACAAGCCCTTGTAGCCCGTTTTGATACTTGGTTCAAAGGAAGCACATTCGAACGGTTGGCCGACGTTAAGCAGACAGGGTCCGTGGATGACTATGTAATATGTTCGTGCAATTAGCCAGTCAGGTCCCAGGTTGAGTGATGCCCACTATTTGGGGTACTTTATGAAAGGGCTACGGGACACCATTCGCAGTTCCTTAAGGATCCTACGGCCGGCTGATTGGGAAGCTGCTATGGAGTTATCTAGAGATATCGAAGATGACTTGGCCGTACAGTCCGGAGGGAGACCGGAACGGGGTTAAAACGATCAGCAGTACCGTTCCAGTAATTACACCAAAGTTGGCGGGTTTTCGGGGTTCTCTTCCACGCCAGTTGCTGGAAACCAAGGGGCAGCGGGAAGCACAACTTCTGCGCGATCTCCAGGTAGTACCTCGGGGTCCGGATCAGCCATGACTGACCAGTCGGTGAATCGCTCTCGGTTCACACGCCTCTCACCGCAAGAATTTGCAGACCTACGTGCAAAAGGGCTTTCTTTCCGTTGCAAGAAGCCTTATACCCCCGGGCATGAATGTCCCCTAAAACAGTTAAGAGTAATGGTTGTCGAGGAAGATGAGGAACTCAACCTCAACCAAACTGAATCTTTTATCCCACCCGAAGAGGTCGAGCAGCTAGGGGAACAGGAGGAGCAACAAGCAACGGCTCTAGACTTACCCGTATATTCGATGGCGGGAGTTTGGAGTTCCCGTACTATGCGACTCAAATTAAAGGCAGAAAAGACGAGGAAGTTTGGTGTACAGCTAGGGCACGGTCGTCGCCAAGAATCAGAAGGGGTTTGCAAGGGGGTGTTGATCTCGCTACCGGGGTGCGAAGTATGAACAGATTATTATGTGTTTCCTTTGGGAGGAGTGGATGTTATACCGAGAGTAGCATGTCTAGCATCCTTGGGAGAGGTCCGGACCAACTGGGATACGATGACTATGTCATTTGACTGTCAGGGCAGGCCGGTAGTATTACAAGGAGACTCGGCACTCTCGGAAACAGGTGGACCTACAGGCCTTGCTTCGGACCAGGGACGTGGAATTTTGGGCAGTTGTGATAGAAGAAGAACCCGCCACTTTATTGTGGCCAAATGTGGAGCAGGTGTGGTGTAGTAGGTTGGTCAGTCAGAAGATGATGCGACATGGACTGGGGTGCAGCAGTGCCAGCAGCAGTTTCCTCACTCCAACCTTGGGGACAAGGTTGTTTTAGAGGGGGAGGAAATTGTTAGGGAGTGGGAGGCAGATGGGCCGAGGCTCTAGGAGGAGGCAACTGGGCTGATGCTTCAGGAGTACGGGCCTCGCCCATTATTAGTTTACTGTCGCTGTCAGTGGACCTAATTGGGCTGGGTTGACTGCTGGGTTTTATTACTTTCATTCAATTGTTATTTCTAATAAACTGTTGGGCCTAGATGGCCATATTTTATTATTAGGTTACTGGGCCTAGATGGCCATATTTTATTATTAGGTTAAGGAGTATTTAAGGAGGTCTGATCTTGTGAACTATTATTCATTATAGAGAATAAAGATTTGGTTTGAGCCTAAGGTTGGGGCAGACGTTAATATCGTCTGCTAGGGTTTTCTGTTTCTATCAGGCTCAATCCTGTATTCATTAATCATTAGCTGTTGAAAGTAAATAATTAAATAAATAAGTCATAAAATCAACAATTATGCTGCATCTGTGTCTCCCTTTCAAGTTTCTACTACCTCCTGTTCTCTATACTCATTACACATCATTTATGTATGGTGTAACATGTTTACCCCAATAATGATCTTATATTTTTGTTTTTTACATATATCTTTTTTGGGGTTCATCACTGCCAGACATGTCCACTGCTGCTTCGTGTTTTCACCAAGGTATGAACACTGTAGAAATATCTCCAAATCGTGTTTCATAAAATAATGTATCTGATCTCTATCCGTTTGACTCACTGTCTTCTAGATGTCTTGATATAGTGACACAGTGAATTCTTTTTTACACTAAATATGAATAAGTCACCTAAAATCTGACTGTCTATACTGCATGAGCCAAAATTTTCAGCCTTCTGGTTTATTCGTATGAGACATATGATAAGACATTATTATCCACATACAACACATTCAAACTTGGACCAATGTGCTTGTCTTCATTTTAATCTATCAGCGGTAGACTGTTATGTGTTCTGTAATGACAATTTACAGGTGGGAGGGCATCATGCTGAGAGTGAATTTGCTGTGAGAGGGAAGGAACCTAAAGATGAAGTCCAAGTTTATACCTGGATGGATGCTAGTCTACGCGAACTCACTGATCTGGTATCATTACATAACTGCTACCTTACCTCCACCTCCAGTGTATCTTGGCAAATTGCCCTGCTTACTACTTTGCATCCCTCCTACAATCTTTAATTGAATATACTCCCACTCCAAAAAGTGATGTGTTTCAAACTCACCCCCCCCCCCCCCCCCCCCAAGTAAAAAGCTCTATTGATCAAATAAAGCAATGATTTATGTGATCTCCAAAATATAACAAACAATAAAGTCAAGCAAGTTGTATATGTTAAGGTAACCCATTTTTTTAATAAAAAGTATATGTATGATTTAGAATTTGAACAATGGTTAGACAAGAAATTTTTAAGCTGTAGTTTGCCTTGTTTTTCATTTTCCTCCTAGTGTCTAAATGGAATGCTTGTATATTCCTGTTTCATCAGGTTAAAGAAGTGGCACCTGAAGCACGAAAAAGAGATGCTGTATTATCATTCTCATTTGTCTATCCTGATAAAAATGGCCGATTTGTGGTTAGAGAGGTCTCTTTTTACATCTCACTCTAGAAATGTGATGAATTCCCACTTCAGTAGTTATATTAAAAAATCAGCGTATGTGTGGCTTACAAGTTCCTAATTTACAGGTAGGAAAAACGTATTCCATCCCAAGTGGGAGACGACCAGATGATGGCAATCAAACACTAAGTGATCTTAAATTTGAGGTACCAAATTGTCTACACCATCGTGGAAGCCTGAATCTGTTTTCAAATATTACATGCAGCTTTACCTGTATTTGTTTGATATTCTGCAGATCGGTGACTACTTGGATGTGTCAATTCAATTTCAACGATCTGAAACTTCTTGAATGAAATTGGGAAGTCATCTGTGTCCTGTAGCCTTTGTTCTGGGATTGTATCTTGTTTTCCTAGTTTCTATACCTATGTTTGACGGGTGGTAATATGGATTCTGGTGTAGTAGTAGGAGACAACTCTCTATGCTCAGTAATTTGGAATTACTTTTTATTTTGTGATGTTTTGCATTACCGTTTTCCGAGTATTGTTCATGACTTCATGGTGCTCCTGGTCCTAAGCATGGCGATTTGTATATTCGCCTTCCTTACCTCCACGATTCCGTCCGGATCATATAAACCCGGACAGGCTTTGTCTAGATTACGAAATTCGTCTCTGGGCTTATCTATAATAGCAATAGGCTAGAGTGCAGACTTCGTCTCTAGTATAAGTTTTAAATGTATATATCTTTTTTAGAGACTAAAAAGTAAAAACACAAATCTCTTACGGAGTATTTTATTTAAAATTTTCTATTAATTACTCCCTCCGTCCCAAAAACAACTTCCCACTTTCCTTATATGGATGTCCCAAAATTAATTTCACACTTTTTCCCACTTCCTTATTTGGCAAATTATCTACATCAAAACAGTGTCGAATAGTGCCAAACAGTGTTAAACAATGTCCAAACAGTGTTAAAATAGTAAAATTTACCCCCCATTAAGTTTTTTTCTTTAATATGTGTGGAAAACGAAGTGTGAAGTTGTTTTTGGGACGGAGTGAGTATTTTAATATTTATAATTCTACTACAAAAACATACTCATAGCATTACTCAGAGAAATTTTCTATTAAACTCGTAGTATGTTTTTGTAATAGAAATAACTCATATAATTTTAATATTTTATAGTGATGTTTAATAATTATATGAGTTATTTTTATTGTCAAAACATTATAAAGTCAAAAATAAATAATATAGAAATTGTCCTAAATAGTAGTAAAAAACGTTTTGAAATTCCAAAATAGGAGTATCATATTTTTTATTACTTGAATATGAGTAATCTGCCAAGTTTGGAAAAAAATGCCATGTTTAAAAGCCTAGTAATGTTAAACTTGACAGAAATTTACTCCTATTTAGAGAATAAAAAACATGATACTCTTATTTTGGAATTTCAAAGCTTTTTTACTCCTATTTAGATAATTTACTCTAAATAATATCAAAACTCATAGCAAATAAAAGTAAAACCAAAAAAAAAGTGGATGATATAGACATATAGTTGTCCGCCAGGCAGGTTAGGCCCTAAACTCTTTAGATAATTTACTCTAAACTCTTTCTTGCAATGATTGCAACTTGCGTATCATTTTTCGGTTTTTTCGTCTTTCCATTTTGTATAATTGTTTTCAATAATAGGAGATTTAGATTTCTTACCAATTTGGGTTGTAGTCGTTGATGGACCCTCGTCCTCTTGCTCATCATCCGGAGTCCCGTCGCCCCCGAGTCCTCCTCCCCATCGTCATCCTCGAGCTCCACTTCATCCATGGTTGTCGGGAATTGTTGTTCTTGTGCAAAACGTGGATCATTTTGGGACAATAGGTGTTGTAGTTCCTCGTCGGACATCATCATACTATCTCGCCGTTGGTAATCCGTTTCAAAATCATCTCGACTTTGAAAAGAAGACTCGGCCCGCGCTTTACCTTTGCCTTTGCGTGAAGTAGATCGAGTCGATGCAATCTCCCTCTTGCGGTTGCGTTGGAGATTACCCACATCTACAGAATGTCTACCACGCTCCATCTTTAAAATTGAACAAATATTAGCAATTAACTAATATGAGAAATGTAAAAATTAACTAGTTTTGTTATTTTAATGAGATATGTAGCAATTAACTAATTAACTAATATGAGAAATGTACAAATGTAGCAATTAACTAATATGAGAAATGTAAAAATGTAGCAATTAACTAATTAACTAATATGAGAAATGTAAAAATGTAGCAATTAACTAATATGAGAAATGTAAAAATGTAGCAATTAACTAATTAACTAATATGAGAAATGTAAAATTGTAGCAATTAACTAATTAACTAATATGAGAAATGTAAAAATTAACTAGTTTTTTTTTTTACTTTAATGAGATATGTAGCAATTAACTAATATGAGAAATGTAAAAATGTAGCAATTAACTAATTAACTAATATGAGAAATGTAACAATTAAGTAGTTTAACTAATATTAATATGACAAATGAAACAATTAACTTTAACTACTTTAACTAATATTAATATGACAAATGAAACAATTAAGTAATTAAATAGATAAATGAGAAGTGTATATATAAATTAAGTAATTTATATATATATAGTATATATAAATATATAATGTGTAAATATATTATAAGTAATATATAATATAATGTATAACTATATATAGTATATATAAATATATAATGTGTAAATATATTATAAGTAATATATAATATAATGTATAACTATATATAGTATATATAAATATATAATGTGTAAATATATTATAAGTAATATATAATATAATGTATAACAATATATAGTATATAATATAATGCGTAAAGAATTATAATATGAATGTGTATAAGTATATATTTAAAAGTAGATAATTTATATTATAATATATAAGTAGATATAATAATTATATAAATTATATATATGTAGAAAGAATTTGGAGAAGATGAAGAATGAAAATGATTGAATATGACAGATTGAGAGAATAGAGAATTTAGAGAGTTGTAGAATAAGGTGTAAAAAATGTATAGAAAATAGGAGTATAAATAGGTTTTTTTTTGTATACCCCACCCCACCCCCACCCCACCCCCCCTAACCCCCAGACCCCCCCTCCTATGCTCCCAACGGCTATAGAGCCGTTTGGGAGGTCTCTCAACGTCTACTATAGCCTTCAAATATTTAATTTTTTTTTTTGTGACCGTTGAGGCCCGGCCGGGCCGGTTCACCAAAATATCAGCCCGGGCCCGAACCGCTACATGACCGGGCCGGGTGGCCCGAACCGTGACCTAACCGACAAACCGGGCCGGTCCGGGCCGGTTGGCCCGGCCCGAGTCCACTCCTAGGTTAGGGTAAGGCGGTTAGCCCGTGCTTGATTAGCTACTTTTAGAGTTTTAGAACATTGATAAGGCCATTAGAGGGTGTTTGTATATATATACACATACACCGATAGTCTGATACAAACATATTTGATCTAATAAAAAGTGTCAACATGTACAAGTAGTAGATTATGTTAAAATATGTTAGTATTTTTGCAATTGACTATTTTTGACATTGTATAAAAATGCAATAATTGAATGTAATAGTGCATAATAGATTCATGTTAGAGATTAATTAGCCGATCTCAAAATCTTTTGGGAATAAGAGCCTATTTGATTTCACGTAACTTTAGCAAATATGAAGCGGATTAAGCATATTTAATTATGTAATAATCAAAATAAATAAGGTTAGAGTCACTTTTATGACAAAATTGGTTGAAGTTACCGTAGTGGTTGATTTTAACTATTCTTTCCTATAATTTTTTCTTTATTTTATTAATTAAATGTATTTTAAATATAATTATTTTCATAAATTAGCAAAATCAATCAAACTAGCTATTCAAAACAGAATCAACTGACATAACTATTAAAAGAGCATCGCGAATAACCGTATGAAAAAGTTATCCAGTGACAACTGACAAGACAAGTTAAATTATGTTGAAAATTTAGGAAACTTTTGCAATTTCACCCAATAGTATCTCACATTCACTTTCTGATAAAGAACGACCATTCAAAACACTAAGAACACCGCAAATAATCATGATCATGATTCTTAATCCCCAAAGCTGATCACCCGTAACCGAGACTGGAATTTCTAATCGCGACTGGTTCTTAGACATTCCAGTCTAATTTTTGGCAAGTACAATCCATCATGGCCAAGGTGATTTAATCGCCTGTTTTTGGAATTCCAGTTCAGTTCCACTATTAACTCTTACAAATAAATTACTTTTGTGAAGCATAAGTAATCTCAATAGAGAACAGGGGAGAGCAAAGGTTTGTTGGAGAAGAAAGCTTCAAGATTCCCAACAATGAGGTCATACGATTGGGCAAAGGACTCATGGGTGAAAGCTGCATAATGTGGTGAGAGGACAACGTTGTCCAACCCAAGTAGCTCCGCTGGAACATGAGGTTCACCCTCAAAGACATCCAACCCGGCCCCAGCGATCTCTCCCTTCAGCAAACACTGCACCAACTCCTTTTCGTGTACTATCGCTCCCCGGGCAACGTTAACAATCACTCCGTGCTTCCCCAGAGCCAGAAGAACGTCTCTGTCGATAAGGTGATGGGTTTGATCGGTCAATGCACAGCAGATGACCAAGACGTCTGTTGCTTTTGCCAGTTGGTGCAAATCATCATAGAAGGTGTAGTTGGGCAGCAAATGCTTCTTTGTCTCCCTAGAGTGGTATGAGATGATGCACCCAAAGGCTTCAAGCCTCTTTGCCACTTGCTGTCCTATGCTTCCCAGCCCTACTATTCCAACCTTCTTCCCTCCCAGCTGTAACCAGCATTGATTATTAGTTCATTCTATGTACAAAAAGATCACATTTTATTACCATTTTTGTTGGATTTCTTGAAATGAAAGTATTAAATCTGAACGTTTTAATAGTAATAAGCATTAGTTGTTATTAGTTAAATACAGGGTTAATTCCCGAAATAGAAGGTAAAATGTTTGAAAATTCCAAAATAGGACTGTCATGTTTTTAATCCATAAAGAGGAGTACTTATTGCCAAACTTGGAAAATAATATCATGTTTAAAGTCTGGTACGGCCAAAACATAACAGTAACTACCCATATTTAGAGAATAAAAAATATGAAAATCTTATTTTGAAATATACAAACGATTTTAGTTCTATTTAGAGTAATCCTGCCTAAATATAGGCACACAAGAGGCAAAGATTCAAATAAAAAGGTGGTAATAATAGCAAAAAAAATCTTCTTGTGCATGTTTTATGTATACCTTTCTTACATTTTGTCTTTGTTCTTAACTAATCTAAAACTTGAATGATATGAGTTATGCTAGAGGTACTTACACTCTTACAAAAAAAGTCTTACAACAGAAATATGTGGCAACATCACATTATTTAACTTATCAAATCCCTTTGGGAGAAGGGCCAAAAAAGACACTAAGGTTTTTAATGAATCTCGAATAGGACACTCAGGTTTATAGTGGACCAAATAAACACAAATTTAAACTTTTACATTCATTTTAAACCACTCACTAACATTTGCCGTTAAACGGCCTTTTCTCAACTAAAGTGAGGATTAGGGGAGCTTCAAGTTGATGTCTCGTCTTTAGAGGAGTCTCCATTGTTCATCAAATCCCAGTTTATCTTCCAAGGCAACACTTTCTGATGACAACTCTTGTTTCGAAACCAGCCACTGCAGCCACCTGACCCCTTCTTGGTCATGGTGTTGTCCTGAAGATGCAGAATCATATCCATGGCTTCCTCCGTTGCACTACCTGAAGCCAACCTTTCCTTCTCAAGCTCTACTTCAGGTCTTCAGCATATTTTGCTTTCCTTCTTTCAGAATTTACCATTTTTCTCAACGTAAAAATGTCGAACACCTTGCCTTCTCCATTACCATCTTCTTCTTCTTCATTATTTTTATGAATTTCTTTGGTTCTCTCTTCCAGCATACCCGTGTATGGTAATGCCCTGAAGTTCTTCCACGATTTACAAGATCCGACCTTTGAGTCAAAGTGCAAATCAAAACCAACTTTTGAATCCCACAATTTAATTTCCTGGAATACATAACCAACCACTTGAAGAACCAACCAATTCATTAGCCCCACAAAAAAAGCACGAACATAGACAACATGTTCAAAAACAAAAACCCAAACCTAAAATCAAAATCCGTATCAAAATACTAATAAAAATCGAAGCAGTCCATCACCAAACCCCCCAATAAAGTAGGCCAGGAAGCTCCTACAAAGCTTATGAGCACTGCACATAGTGAGAAGCAGACCTAGATGAACAAGAATCTGCATGTGGGTCTGGATATTTCAACAGTTCAAGGCCGTTAATAGACAATTGGGTTGCGGAAAAGACGATTAGAGGGAGAGAATAGATGGGTAAGCCAGGAAGAATGAGAAGTGGGGGCGGAATGGAGGGGCTATTATGAAGAGTCGAGTGTTCTTCGTCCATAAATGGGGGTTGTGTGTTTGGTTAATCGTAGGCCTTTTGGTTAAAAATGAGCACAAAAATTTAAATATGTGTTTATTTGGTCCGCCAAAAACCCGAGTGTCCTATATGAGATTCATTAAAAACCTTAGTGTCATTTTTGGTCTTTCTCCCAATCCCTTTTGCATCAAAGATATTCAAAATAGACAATTTGTTTGTGCTTGTAGCATTTTCCAAATGACACAAACATGTAAGGGAATTTTTCAAATTTCTATAATACGGAGTAGCAGAGTGGTGAGATGTACCTTAGAAGCGAGAGGGTAATTCCCTTTAACGAGCCAACTCCCATTTTTAACGAAGCGGTTACAGGCAGAGATTCTTCTAAGGACATCGATCAGCAAGCCAACGGCAAGGTCTGCGACGTCGACGGAGAAAATAGCGGGAGCATTAGCGACGGCAATGCCTAATCGGCGGCATTCCGGGAGATCAATGTGGTCGAGGCCGGCGCTGGTGGTGACGACAAGGCGGAGGCAAGGCAGACTGCTCAGGACCGAGGCAGAGACCGAATTAGTAGTGCTACAGAGCAAGGCCTCCACCGACTTCGCGTTGTCCGAAAGAAACTCTTCCAGCGGCAGCGACGACTCCCACGGCTTCAGGATTCGGAATTTCTCGGCGAGTTTGCCGCTGTATACGGAGAACACCGACGGTGGGCCTAGAACTATTAGCTCTGGGAACTCATTTTTCATAGTGTTTTCTAGCTGAGCCATGGTTAGATCGTAGAATTGTAGTTCCACTGTGCCCACAGAAATAGTGGAGTTCTCATGATTTCAATGTAGTTCCTTACTTCCTTTTTGCTAAAACTACTGACCTCTGGGCATAGCTGAATGGGTAGACAGATGTGGGGTAAGTGTCTAGTTCAAATAATTCAAGTCATAACCTCATTCCCTATCTACCACGATTAAAATTGAATTTACATGTTTCTATCTACCACTGTTGGGGGTCCTCAAGGATAGAGTGTTATCCTTTTTTTTTGTTAAAACTATAGGTACACATAGTAGAGAAATGTTTAGTGTACATCTTTTTCTATACCACGCACACCTTGTCTGTTTATTTACAAAAAAAAATATGTATGGAATATTCGTCTATATAAAAAGATGTACACTAAACATCAAGCATTTTTGCTGAAAATAAAGTAAATAACACGAATCATATAATTAATTAAAAACAAAATGACAAATTTTTTAATACAATTAAAATAAGATTTTTTATTTTTTAATAAATTCATTTGGATTTTTTTGCAGACGGGTCTAGATTTAACCTAGTAAGCTTTTTCTGCGAAGTTTTTTCACGGTCTTGTTTGGATCATTGAATTGCAGAGGCAGAGCCTAGCATCGGTTAGGGCTAATTGTTGGGTGTGCGCGAACAACCTCGACGAAACTCTTTCCCATGACATTAGAGATAAATCTCCGTTGATAGTAGCCTAACATCATTTAGAGTGTTCGCATCTCGCTCAACGTCCGATGGTGATTTTATTTTCTCTTCTTTGAAGAGCTGTCGTTTTCCCTCTACTTAGGGTTTCTTCTTCCACCATCATTTGCTTTGCCGAGATTAAGAGGAGGGAAGAGAGGGGTGTATAGGCAGGGAGGGACGGATCTTACAATGATTGAGATCAAGATCCCCAGCGGCCTTCAGCGGCCGAAGGCTGTGTATGGACGGAATTGAAGACGAATGCTTGGTCTCCGGCAGCAAAAGATTGGGCACCCCTGACTGCAGGTGGAGAGTTTTGAGGATGTCGTTCATAGATGAGAACAGAAGGTCATGGACGAAGCGTGTGACTAGAGGCGGGAACAGATCCGGAATCGAGGTCATCCATGTTAGGAGGCGACAAAGGAAGCTTGATAGAGAACATGATGAATAAGAGGCAATGTGAGGAAGAAGTTACAGTACTGCTGGATCGTCCCCCTCCTGGACCGCCGTCATGGAATGTAGGAGAGTTTAGGGTTTGGAAGCAGAATTTTAATTTTACTGTTTGGTTGCTATTTATTTTTAATGATCAGACTAATTATTTTTTCGTTGGTTAATTTTATTATTGTAAGACTCTTGAATTAGGATTAGGTGATGGGAGGTCTGCTTTAACCGTCTTTGGCTCATTTGCGCCCAGAAAAGGATCAACGAGTTATATTGCTTTTTCGAAGGTAATTAACTCTAAGTCTGATTCAAGGGTCGGTGGTTGCATGTGGTCCTTTTGTCTTTTTAACCCATACCTGAATGTTATGATATTAATTTAAGTCGGCTTCTTCTAAAAATAACTAAAATAGGAAAGATGACAAATTATAAGTGAGGAAGAGATTAATTAACTCACTATGCATATACCCGGCAATAATCTGCATAACTTTGCATTTTGCTTTGCTCTGACTATCATTACCTACCTCCACCTAGGGGTTGGCATACAAACTCGTAACCGATTTACCGAATCAAAAAACCGAAAAACCGACACTTTTTTTGGTTAACCGTACCACATTTTCAAAAATTACATGGTACCGTTAACCAACCGAAAGAGAAAACGGTTTGCGGTATGGTTACGGTTTTAAATTATTCAAGGTTGGTTAACCGATAACTGAATGTTCAAAATATTATATGCTTCGTAATTCTCATATGCCAATATGCAATCAAAAAAATTAGGGGTGGGCGCGGTCCGGAACAGTCCGGTAAATTGGTAAAACCCGCAATGTATCTGTGAGGTTTTTAACGGTACGGTACGGTCCGGTTCCAAGGATAGAACCGTTCGGTACCATGTCGTTTCGGAACGGTACAAACGGTACGATACAATGTCAAACACATGCTAAATTTTTTGAACAAATCTTGCAATTAGTAGATATCATCACACCAACCAACTCACATGAAATGTTGAAATAAATATAAGAAATTGCATACATGATACTAAAATTCACAAATACACAAATAGTGCAACACAACTAAGAAAAAGTATAGCAAAACGATGACGCACGAGATAAATATCATTTTTAATTTACTAAGTTCATGTGAAAATATAAAAACGAATATCATTAAATTGTTGAATATAATAGAAATCTTCAACATTCTTCTTCTTCGTTCTAGGTTAAATATTACTCCCTAGTTCTAATTTAATTTATAATTGAACCTTGAGAGCTATGATTTAAACCATAGTAGTATTAATTAAGTTGTAAAAAATGCACATACATGATACAACAAAAAGTCATGTACACTACATTACTAGAAATAAATAATCATTAATGATTTCTAAAATTTTAATATTCTTTCAATACATACCAAAATATAACATAAATTATCTAAAAAGAAAAACTAACAATATATATATATATATATATATATATATATATATATATATATATATATATATATATATATATATATATATATATATATATATATACTAGCTTGGGCGCGTGCGTTGCGCGACGGTTGATGCCCAATCTTGGGAGAAAACGAGGGAGACATGCTATCTAATATTCCTCGATATTGAGAGGCAGGACATGATCATAAAGCGAGAGTCTCAAAAGGAACCACTCACCATAGCTAGCAACTCTAACCTATTGACATTCCAAATTCAGTATGATGTAATATTATGCCTCATAAAGTGTTTGTAACAATAAGTGCATCTAACGTAAAGCTTTGTTACTCCTTTTCTTTGGATGGATAAAGTGTTAAACTGTTAACTAATCTTAGATAATTACTTTCACAACAAACTTTATGGGAATCATATAGTTTAGAGCTGACAGTATTGAAGAAGGTTTGAGTTAGGAGAGTCTTTAGTACCCTCCAAGTGTTCAGAGCTACCTCTTTGTAATCCCGGAATGATATGAAAGCAAGAAACCAATGTTGTTATTCAAGTAGAAATTCCGTGTGATACATTAGAAAAGGGTATTTAAGTTCCATATATAACTTTCTCTAAGATATGGATGGTTCTTACCAATTTTAGTCTCAACTCAACAGCAATACTGGGTTCTTCAAGATCACCAACCAAGTTGGTTAAGACTTCACTGCCACACCTTTTCCAAATGATTTCGTTAATGCGAGCTTATTATAGTAGCTTAACCTGCAAAAGGGAGACATTTTAAAGCAATAACATCGCATACTCCTAAGTTGTAGCAAAAGAATCGTGTAATAGCAAAACGAATGGACTTTACTAAGCTAAAGTAGAATTAGCATCATGCTGCTAAAACTGCATATTAACTCTATTTGAATAAAGACGTACTGTAATATCTGATCGTAATTATGTTTAACAAATAAATGAACCTTCAAATAAAATCATGGGATCGAAGTCAGAAATGAGCATCGCGCTTTCTCCATTTGAAAGAGGAAAGATCTTCCAACGACTTATAGCCATTGTAATCTTGGGGAACAACCATTTGACTAATCAGAGATGTCATATGCCCTTCAATTGCAGATAATAAGAAAGAAGAAACTTCTGTATTTTATACTGGGCATACAACCCCACAGAAGCCATGTCACAATTCTTCTTCTTCCTCTATTTTTCGCAGCATATGGGAACTTTACATGGAAATGAAATGGAATAGATAGAAAAGAGAAGAAAATAGGAGAAGAAGTCTTAGCTAACAGCATCATGAGAAGGGGTGATTATCGAGGCAACATTATACACAGTTGGCACTGGGCTACTTTGGCGGAAGATTTCTTGACGTTGAGCGATTGTTGATTTTGAGGCTTAGATATTTGATGGATCCTTCAACAAGATAATGGCCCACCTAGTACTCACGTGGATGCAAATAACAGGGCATGGTCTGGATCTGCACACCAAGCTACAAGCCGGTTTAACAAGAAAGAGGATGCAGAAAAAGAGGAGGAAATGAACTTGAATGTTAGAAAACAAGAAGAACAAAGGCTATGCAATTATCAATTACCTCTCTTATACACATGGCCCATCGTGAGCCATTTTTCCTAATGCAACCCTGGTTCAAAATCATTCATCTTTATTCTTCAATACAATAGAATACACCGATCAAAGGTTGAGATCATGAAAAGATAGTCGATTCAAAGTCAAGAAACTACAAAGTATATATACTCAGAAATCATAATTCTGAGTATATATTAGACACACTAATATATTTGTGCTAATATTTATTAATTTCAAAAACACAGAGGAGTGTTTTTAAACGATACCCTAGAATACCAAAGTGTGGAAGTACTTTTGGTGCTCAAAATTAACCGATATCCATCCATCAACATTGATTTCAGTAACTAAAGATTGAGTCTTTCATATAAATTAGAGCTGACCTCGATCTGACCATTGGCAGCAGCTATATGCACAGCAGAATGGCGATCATACACTGGTTTGGTGAACCATGCCTGTTTTGGTGAACCAGCCCCGTTTTGGCTATATGCAAAGCAGAATGGCATATTATGTTTCCAATACTTGTTTCAAGCTAATATGGTATAATTTTGAATGTAGACTATTCTAGGGACCGTAATACAATGTTTTATTTACTTTACGAATAAAAAATACTTCAAATAAAACTTTTTCAAAATTCACCAAATTCAACAAACTCAGCTACAACTTCAGCAAATCCAAAAGGTTCAGATAATATTAGTCTCACCAAACGGAATCAACATCTTTTCTTTCCAACTTTACTCACTCAATCATCTTCAGTCTTTTCCATGCTTTTATATAAACCTTACAACTCTACTATTTATTTCAAGAGATATACTTTCTGGGTCCAATAAATGTGAACTGAGTACAATATAAAGCTACAAAGGAAAACGATCATATAAAACAACAAACCACTTGAAGGATATCTATATTCTCTGCCGTTCCACCAGTCATGATATTCTGCAAATCCTTCTCCAAGCGCCTCACAAGATCTGGCTTCAAAATACAACACGGTCATTATTTTATTAAACTCTGTGTCAGTTTTACATAAATCTAAACAACATAACTTGTGGACGTTCTAGTTCGAGAGGTAGATGAGAGGAGATGCATAAAAGAAATCCGATGTTAGCAGTATAGTTCGAGAGGTTTCAAAATTCTAAAGGGTCATTAGATGGACTCAAAGGCAAAGGCTAATTGTGAAAATGACAATTGAACAATGAAGTTCAAGAGGTTTTCACATGTTGATAATTGAACAATACAATTTTTTTTATTAAAAATCAAATCTAATCAGTATAAGAAAGATATTCTTCTGTAGAGGTTCACATGAATTTTATGTCTACACAAAACTAAGGTGGTTAGTGACCATTTGACCCCCCCCCCCCCACGTCCCCCTCACTTGGCTTTGCTATTGTTAAGATGGTAATTCAGGAATAATTGCTTTGTTTAAAAAATTTAGAATAATGAATAATCTGAAATATATTGTTGGTAAACCCATTCATATCTCCACCAAAGAAAAAACTTATTCAAGTTACCGGTTTTCTGTTTTATCTTAACTAAAGTACTTATTTATAAGATCTAGACTGTCACCCGCCGATGCGTGTATTGTCGTAAAGAGTATAATATACCCATGATTTCATTTGTTTCTATTTTCCTTTAGCAGCATATTCACACTCTTTTCAATATGATTATATTAACCTTATCATATATGGGTCGCCTTGCATTTGATCCTTCTTACTGCTATTAGGAAATTAATTAATTAATTATAAATTTGATTTCAGGTTGTCATTCATAAACTTTTAAATCACAAAACAATATGATATCATTAAAATTAAAATTAAGAAACAGATTTTTTTTTTAAAACTAAATAACACAATAAGATAAATTAATTGAGTGACATAGGAAGTCATACATCAGCAAGAGAAGCACACCCACATATGCTAGTCGGAATGGTGCGTAACCTTCAATGCCCAAATAATTCCACTATTAAGATACTTAAGGTCAACAATTTACATTTTGAGGCAAGAAAACAGAAACAAAAGTAAGGGGAGTAGGACCAACTAACGGAACTCGTTGTGAAAGGCTCGTATGAAACCATGTTTGTCAACCGGAACTCGTTAGAGGAGCTTGCTATTCAGGACTGTACTTAAGGGCAGTAGGACCAACTAACTTGCTTACACTTTTTATATAAATAGGAGATACGAGTCCATTGATCATTCAAAAAAATCAAACTACAAAATTACAAAGAAAAAAGTTCAAATCATCAAAAATAGTAAGTAAATGTTGATTAAAAGAAAAAATCCAATGGCAGGGAAAAGATGTGCATAGAATGTAAGAGATGAGCTTGACTTATACATGGAGATCATCCGCAAACGTTCTGGCAAATGTCCCATGGCATTTGCCCCACTGATTTTGGTGGTTTGCCTTCCAGGGTAAAAAAAAGGAGATCATCCGCAAACGCTAGGAGGGAGAAGTTAGCATAAGGAAAGTGGCATCACACACTCACACATCAATTTGGAGAATGACGGACCTTACCTTTGAAACGAATTCTGGAGGTCAACACGACCGGAAGCACAGAGCTGGAAAGGAGAGATGAAGCTGAAAGCGAATGATCTGAAGATAGGGAAGTTCAAATGATTAAAACAGGGAAATGAAATAGAGAAAATCTTCCGATCACTCATTTCTAGTGGAGAGCACCAAAAAGCGTGAACTTTTGAGGTTGTAGTAGCGAAAAAATGCTCAAACTAACTTCCTTACACATATTATATATAAGTAGATATATACTTACATTTCAGTTTTAGAAATAATGTGGATCATGGTGCCCAGTCGCACATACTCTGTTCATGGCACTAAATTGTGTTCGTTCTTCCTCCAATTTTTCTAAATCAAAGAAAATTGAAGCAAAAGCAAATTAGAAATCAGTAAAAACAAAGAGAAAATACAAGTGGGAAGCAATGAAGCAAATCCTAGGGCAATACAAGTAGAAATTTCAAAAGCCATACAAAGACCTGGCAAAAGGAAAACCTTCAACCTAGCGAGCAGCACAATCGAGGGACTCTCGAACCACATCATCGTAGTAAACTGCACAATCCCCCACAAGAGCATCCACTTTGATTTGAAAAAACTATTATTTTTATTAAACTTTGAATTAAAGAATTTTATACTCGGACTGAAAATTGACTAAATTCGGATAATCACCTTCACATAAATTTGGCATTGAACGTGTTTGTGGTGCCGACAGGTGTGGCGGCGATGTTTCATTCCGGAAACCACCTGCTTCTCATTGAGAGCCTTGGAGCGAAGTTCCATCAAACCTTGCTTGGTCTTCCACAAGGCTTAAGCCAAGTTCATAAATCTGACTTTCAACTGAAAAACACATAAAACTGTTTTAATAGGAGATCAACATTCATCATAGAAAAGTGTATTTTTCAGTTTGATTCTTACAAAAGATTGGATATATAGTTTAGTCATAATAGAAAGTGTACAATTCATTTCTTAAATAGCAACAAGGGTTTTATTAATAACAAGGGCATCATAAATTGTCTAAATTAATAACAAGTGATTGTTTCTTAAAACGTTTAAGCTATCAATTGTAGTTATGCAATAAATAATAAATATCACAATATTTTTCAGAAAAATCATATGTAAATAATAAATCAAGTTTTAAATTGATATTATAATTCTATTGACAAGTTCTAAAAAACACATGAAAGAGAGCCACTCACCTATCCTCTAATAAGTATTGCAGAGCTAGCTCTTTTGGTTTCTCTAATATCCACAAATTCAAGAGATTCATGTCACCTTCAAAAACGTGAAAAGTCACTTCATAAAAATTCTAGAGATAAAATAGTAAACTTGCCCAGTGACACAAAGTATTATTAGTACCTAATAAGACAAGAATCGAAGCAAACAAGGCTGAAAAATCGAAGCGAAAGCCAAACCAAATTAATGTACCTTCTTTAGATTTGAATAATAGATTCACATGGAAGATATATTCTAATCTAGTAAGGGGAATTTGGGCGTTCTTCCTTCTAGTGAATCTATTATTCTTCGGATCAAATGATTCATCCAGGACTGGTCCCATGGTTTGAAGAATCTGAAGAAATGAGCAGAGTGGTAAGCTGGAAGTAACCATCCTGTAACTACAAGCTGAACATAGACACAACTTTCATACCTAATTGTTCTCGGGGAGGTGCGATAATGAGAAATCGAGCTGGGGATTTGTTGTTTTCCGTATCATTCTCCATCGCTGCAGGTCCAGTGCTTGAAGCGGAGATGAAAGCCGTACATTTTGCGACTAACAGGGCACTTGAATATGGATATGTTGGGAGTAAGCCCTCAGTTCGGAGTTCTGAACTTTGATCCTCAAAACCCTAGAGTAAGAAACGCAGATGAAGAACACAAAGACCGTAAAGATCGTAAACGCAGATGAGGCGTCGAGTAAAGAAACTGACAGGCTCGCAGGGAACCACGTCTTGCAAACGGAGATCGTAAAGAGACGGGAAAAAACGGAGACTGTAGTAACGGAAATAGGCCAACTAACCCTCTTAGCTAGGGCTTTATATATATATATATATATATATATATATATATATATATATATATATATATATATATATATATATATATATATATATATATATATATATATATATATATATATATATATATATATATAACACATTTTAGATATCTTAGGGACACATGAATACATCTTGGGGTATAAAATTGTTGGTCTAGATCTATTGATATAGAAAAATTATAAAAATAATCAAATGCATTATTTACGAACGGTTCGGTCTGGTATTTTTCGGTTCTCAAAATCTAGGACCGGTCCTGTACCCGTTTCAAATGGTACGGTATCAGTACGGGATAACAATCTATAGAACCGTTTAAATATCCGATATTCGGTTCTGTACCATTACGGAACGGTTCGGTACCGGTTCGGTTCGGGTTTTATGCACACCCCTAAAAAAATAAGTCCCACTGCAGCAGCACCATGGAACGAATCCAAACCTCGGAAGAATTTAAAACGAAGTGTTGCTGTGTTGTATAAGGACGAATGTTGCTGCTAGACATTAAGGATATACATACGAAATACTCCCTCCCTCCCTCCCATAAAATTCTTCTCACTTTCCTTTTTGGGTCGTCCAAAAAATTCTTCCCACTTATCATTTTTGGACAATTTGTGTGGTTCACATTCATTTCACCTTTTCTTACACAACTACAACCACACATTTCCACTTTATTTCACTTTTTTAATATCCGTGCCAACTCAAAATGGGAAGAATTTTCTGGGACGGAGGTAGTAAATTTTAAGGAAATGAATTAACAAGATACAGAGTGCGTATAATTCTATGAAGTATCTTCTGGTTTATTCAGAAAAAAGTTTCATTGATTTTTTAATATTAAACTATATTGTTTTTGTCCAACAGTAGAGGATAAAAAGGTAGAGTAATTAGTAAGTATATCATGTCTTCAAAACAGATTTTACATTGATCGAACACAAAAAAACTCCATATAAGCTAGCAGTTTAATTACTTTGTATTTTTATTTAATTTATTTCATGGTTATTCGGTTAACCGAAATTTTGGTTAACCAATGTCCGGTTAACCGAAATTATGGTACGAGTAGTGGTACACAAAATATAGTCACCGAACTCTCGGTTAACCAAAAGTTGGTCAACCGAAATGTGATGATTATTGATAACTGTAATAATAAAGGTGAATAATTTTTAATATTTGATGATTAATTTTTCATTTAATAGTTCTAATAATTACTTAACCTAGAATTGGCAAGTTTTAACTACGACGCTCAATTGAGGCGAGTGCGAAGTTTAACTTGGGATATAGTAAGTATTAATTATTATTTTTAATATTAAAGATACAAAAATAAGCTAGGCATGATAAATTATTTAGGAGGTTTTCATTAAACATGCCATATTGACCGTTGAAAAATTTTCCGGATTTTCCGTCGGGCAAATCCAGTGGCGGCTGGTCAGGTTTGGGGAAAGGGGGCTGGAGCAGAAATTGGATATAAATTATAATGCAAAAAATTGATTAATTAAACAAAAGATCAATCATATTTTTTGAAAAAGCGGAAAAGTGATCACTTTTTATATTTCACAAAGATAAAGGTGATATTTGAGTTTGTGTCTATTACGAAGTAGTACTGTGTACTTTTTTTCCATTGGTGTGTTGTGTTCCCAGAATTGTGTTCAAGACTAAACTATTTACTTTTAAATTATACTACGTACTACTTTCTATTTTCAATTTTAACTTTTATAACTCCTGAAAGTGTTTTATTAATCTAGAAATGATTTTTAATTGTTTGTTCAATAAGTATCTATACACCAACCTCAATCTTAAACTAGACATTGGAATTTAACTAGAAATGATTGCAATTTAACCGAGTTCTTTTGTTGTTCTTTTTATTTAAATATTGTTCTGGAGAGGTACCAAACCTAGGGTTTTGGAATTTCTACTGCTTCATGTGCCAACTTGGAGTTGTCATCATCAAAAGTTGTTCAAATAGAGGGAGTATAGCAGTTAATGATCTGCATCAAAACCATTGTAGTTCTTCATTGGAGGAAAAGGATGATGGAATTTTCTTCGGGAATGCGTGTAGAGATGAAAATGAGAACTTGGTTTTAACAAGCCTAGCAGTGACAACTGGTGTGGACGATGCAGGGTTGGCGTTTGATATTAGTTTGAAAGGATACATGTTTCAGTTTTATCGCAAGGTTGGCGTTTGCAGGGCTGCCATCACAGGAACCATGGACCTTCGAACAGAGCCTTTCGATCGTGTATACGTCGGAGCCTCAGAGGTGGTGGGTTTTCAATCAAAATGTGGTTGTACAATTAGGTCATTCCTGTGTTTGGTATCAACTATCAAGGTTAAATTTTCACTTTCTGTAACACAATAGCTGCCAATCCTTCTATGATCTTATTCATGGTCTTGTCACCCACTTTTCCGGCAAAGATCAACCAATAGTTCCACGAAAATCATGCAAGTGACTGGAATCACCACCATGAATGAAAATTAACGCAACCGTGTGTCTAAAAGCAAATAATTAAACTAGAGTGCCAAAACTTTCAAATGTATTAATACTACTAGTAATAGGCTAATAGCCAAGCGCTAAAAAGGGAAATTAATTCTTACAAACATAATAAATCACTTCTTGATATTATCGCTTTTTCTCCTTAAAGTAAACATCATAAAACCATTTGTTTGTACACAATTTATTTGTTGCGGCCTTGCGGGTAATAATTGTAATTGAGTTATTCAAGTTCGCAAATTTACTAGGTCAGAGAAAAAGTTGCAAAAATACCAACAACATTGTCAAGTGCAGATCAAATACACATCCAGATTATGTACCTTCCAAGCCTGACTGCAATTTTGAGGATAAATAGAACTTGGATAAAAATTAATTAATACGTAGTATAACTAAAAGCCATAAAAACCATTACTGCGATCAACAGAGAATTAAACAAGGTAATTAATTTACAGCACACGTGGCCACTTCTGCTCCTGATTTTATGAAGTGGAGGTAGTAGTAGTAGGGTAGAATCTGGACCAAATCTACTCAAAACTGAACCCAAATTCCGATCTTGAATTGGAACCATTAAAACCCATATTTGGTTCCAATTACTCCCAAACACGGGCACGGAACTGGCCTGTTTTGGGATTTTAATTTTTTAGTAATGGATTAAACACCGTTTACAACTGACGTAGAACGAAAACCATCAATTAGAACCAACCGAACATGGCCAGCTTCAGTTAAGGCTCATGTTTTGAGTGATCAGAACCAGCTGCCTGGAACGAGAACTGGACTGTGTCCACTCCTAGGTAGTAGATAGATGGTTCAACTTGGAACATAGGGTTCAAAGAGCGCCGCACAGGGATTTGGATCATGCTGCATTATTTCGGCAGCACGTTCAAACTCCTCTCTTAGAACTCTTATGCTGAACTTGTCTACGACTCGACCCAGATCATGAGAAACCTCGAATGGATCTTCAATGCATATCAAATGGCGATCGTTCCCTATCCTTCTCGTCCAATCCTTAGCTCGCTTGCTGTGATGAATTTATAAACGAAAAATGAGTTCAACCAGCAAGTTGGATGCAAAAATGAAGTTTGTTTGGTAGGTGATAAACCCAGGAAATGTTTTGAAAGATAACAAATACTAGTATATTAGTAGGGAAAGAACAGGATTATAAGGAGAAGTTTTTCTATTTTGTTCCTTTCAAGAACACTGATGTTTATATAACTTAGGGTTGGATTCGGTTCGGGCCACCCGGCCCGTGACCCGGCCCGGCCCGTGACCCGGCCCGGCCCGTGACCCGGCCCGGCCCGGCACTGTGCGGGCCCGGGACCGGCCCGGTCGGGCGGTCCGGGACCGGGTATGGGCCCGAACCGAGGGGAAGGGGCGGGGCGGGCTCGGTTCATCATATTTGTGACCCGGCCCGGCCGGGTCAGGCCCGGGCCCGGGTCCGGGTCTATTTTTAAAAAAAAAAAACTTTTTTTTGTTTTTTGGCTACTAGCCGTTGAGGCCTTGGGGGTGGGGCTGGGGACAACCCAAACGGCTATATAGCAGTTGGGTGGGGTAAAGGGGAGGTCCGGGGGGTTGGCTGGTAGGGGGGGTGGGGGGGGGTGGGGGGTAAAAAAACCTATAAATACTCCTACTCTTAAACATTTTTTCATATCTCTTCTCCAATTCTTCCTAAATCCTATTCTTAACTCTCTACTCTCTAATTCTCTTATTCTCCAATCTATTATATATATCTACTCTCTAATTCTCTTCTCCAAGAAGTTAAGATGGAAAATCAAAATGCCATTATACGGTATAATTTTGATAAGCAGAAGGACCCGAAGACCGGGATGTGGTACGCAATTTGCAAATGGTGCGAAAAAAAATGTATCATGGGGGCTTCAGGCGGATTCGGGATGGCAATCAAGCATATGAAGTCATGTGACAAAGCCAAAGGATCGGGAGGTGCGGGAAGTTCCGATTGATTACAATTTTCAAAATGTTTATCTCTTAAAGTTTGTTTTAATTTTCAAATGTAGTTCCTATTTCATTTCAAATAAATGCAATTGAAGTTTGTTTTTAATACTCGTATAAAACTATAAACTATAAAATATAAATTATAAAAAAAAAATAACCGGCCCGAACCGGACCCGACCCGTGACCCGGGCGGGTGGCCCGGCCCGAACCGGACCCGTCCAACCCTCGGGCCGGTCCCGGGCCCACTGTTCTTGAACCGGCGGCCCGACCGGGCCCGGCCCGAATCCATCCCTAATATAACTACTAATTTGATGTTTATTTTAAAACAATGAAGAATAATCAAGGCACCAACGCTCCAACAACTATGGTTAACAAGACCCAAAGAAATTAATGTCATTAATAGGCACCATTTTTGGGTTATCACTTATCACTCTTATCAACTATTAACTCTGTCCCAAAATGATACTCCCACTTTATTATTCACCGGTCAACAGAATTAATTTTTTATGGGAAATTGCTAATTTTCTATA